TCCCTCCATCTTTTAGCTTTCCTCTCTTTTCAGAAATTTAATTTCTGAAAATAAATTATCTCTATTATATGTGTATTCATTGATTTCTTTTGATTTTGGCAAAATGAATGAATAAATCAGTCCTAAAAAAAAAAAAAAGTCTGCTAGAAGGCCAACTGGAAAGATTTTCTGATGAGGGTCCAGGGCTTTGGTGTTTGCGTTGCTGCCTCCCCACGAACACTTCAAGACCGTGGTCTTCCCCAGATCTCTCTGAGGATCTAAACAATCTTATGAAAAATCTACACCCATCACTAACACTTTTCATCTTACCAGACCATGGGGAAACCTCAAGATTATACACATCTCGTTCCCTGAAGGAAATAGGAGCCCGAAAATAGAGCTGGACAGTGGTCGCACATGACTTTAACTCCAGCCCTTGGGAGGCAGAGAGGCAGGCGGATCTCTGTGTTCAAGACCAGCCTGGTCTACAAAGCAAGTTTCAGGACAGTCAGAGGTGTTACAAAGAAACCCTGCATAAGAAAGCCTCAGCTAAGATTTGAAACTCTCAGGACAGGCTTACAAAGAAAGAAACATACATTCACCTCACAGGAAGAAGTGTGCAAGGGGAGCTGATTACAAAAGGCGCTGAACTGGTTACTTAAAGTATAACATGCAAGGCCTGGAGGCATGACTCAGCAGTCAAAAGCACTGGCTGCTCTTCCAAGGACCTGGGTTTGATTTCCAGGCCCTAGAGCTGGAAACCAACCTTCACAGGTGTCTGTAGCTCCAGTTCCAGGAGATCCAGTGCTGTTTCCTGACACCAAACATGAGTGTTGTGATTTACACACATGCACATACCCATATCCGTAAAAAAAAAAAAAAAAAAAAAAATACAACACTAAAATAAATAAATGTAAATACATACACAATCTACAAGAACTTATTAGAAACGGAGAGCCTGGGACTTTCTCCTGAACTGACTGAATTTTAACAAGACCTGCTGTTTGCTGGATTTTTTTTTTGAGACACACCCCCAGATACTTCAAGTCCCTTTATCTCTCCTGCCCCAAATGAATGGAACACAGCTTTAACTGCCATTATCAGGTAAAAGCAGGCCTAACTGCTTCAACTGGTATCAAGTTGGGAAGAGCTTTTTGTTGTTTAAAAAAAAGTGAGGTGTTTCAGAAAACATTATGAAAGTACTCATACATATACAGGAAGAGGCGAAATGTGGATTTCGGTTACAGTTAAGTTTGATATGAGTCAAATGACTAACAGTTACCAAACACTGGGGAAATAAAGACAAAAAAAAAAAAAAACTTTTAAAGAAAATAACGTGATTTAATGATGACATAAAGAGAAACAGCAAGTGCTGTTTTTTATGCACAAAAGTCTAAAATATAGCAATTTAAAAAAAAGCAGGTACAAATAAGAACATGGTACATAAAAAGGAACTGCAATATTAAATTGTAGACAAGCATTTACGTGTCATTGAATAAGATGCTTGAGACCACTTAAGGTCTAGAAATCCATTCCTCAAAACATCTTCTGCAAGACCCAACAGGGCAGAGAAACAAGTCTCATTCTCCTTAGAAACAAAACATCAGATAGCTAATTGGTGGTAGGAAGTGTAATAGGTTAAAGGGCTCTGTACCTGTGCCCAGAACCTCACAATCAGCTTCCTGTGAAATCCCTGCTTCATAAACATCACAGAAGAAATGGGCCAAGAATAAGCAAAAAATGATTTTGACGGTTTTTCCTCTATTTTTGTAGCCAAATACAGTTTCAACAAGGGCCTCTTTCTGGAATCTTGGCTAATAGAAGTGAGAAATTGAAATTTTATTTGCATTTAACCTAATTATTTATAGTAAACTGAGAGATTCAGTTGAGCTACTGAAAAACTTTAGGTATACTGAAAACAATTTGAATACATGAACTCATTTTTCCGGGTGTAAAAGTTGTATAACTAAAAATTATTTCTAGTAGCAATGTAATGTTCTGACACATGCTATAAGTGGATATACTAAAGTCCAGATATTAAGTATTTATGTGAAAAGGATACAAAATTTCTCAATATTTTTATATTTACTATATGTTAAAATTGGTATTTTAAACATATTGATTTAAGTAAAATATATTAAAAGTATTGTTAATATTGAATCAGTCCAACAAAAGATACTATATTATATTATTTCATTTATATATGGAATCCAAAAATTTTATTTTCACTTCTGTCTACAAAAGTAAAAATATTTCTATAGCTAGAAAAAAATGATGGTAGGCAGAATGAGAGAAGGGAATGAGACAACGTGGGTCCAAAGAGACAAATCAGCGCACCTAAAAGCAGCAGCTGTGACATACAGTGTTTGGTCTACCGCCATCAGTAGTATCCCACGCTAAGGATTTCTGTTAAATGAGCTAATTCTCACCACGGGGAGAGAAGATGGGTAACTATGTGACATGTTAGGTTTTTTTTTTCACTCTGTTGACCACCTTACTCTTACATGAACCGCATGATATCACGGTTATATGTTGAATATGCATGATAACGGTTTTATGGACATGAATGTTTCTGTGTGTAAGGAAGCCAGGGGGCAACCTTAGGTGTCATCTTCAGGACTGTCATTGACCTTCTCTGAGACAGGGTCTCTCAGTGGCCTGGAGCTCATTGTGGAGGCTAGACTGCCTGGCCAGTGAGCCACACAACCCCTCCATCCACAGTGCTGGGACTACAAGTGTTCACCACCACACCTTGGCTATTTTATGTGAGTACTGGGACCAAACTCGAGCCCCACTCCTTGCTAGACAAGTGTGTACCAACTAAGCCGTCCCTTCATGACCACAATAACATTTTTAGTTAAATGAGCTTATCCATTTCTTTTTAACTTTGTAAAATGTCTGTAATTCTTAATTATATAGGTGGTTTGTGTTATATTTCCTTTAGACAGCCCTGCTCATGTGCTATTCTGAAAGAATCTGTAATTTATTTCATTGTTTATGTGCAACAAAGAAACGGAAAGTCCTTCAATCTGGGGTTACTAGTACTTACCTTTTCTATCAGGCATGCCTCGCTTAAAAAGGAAAGACACAAACTCTGAAAAACAGCAAGACTGCCATTTCTCCCTTGCCTGTTCCCTGGTATGGTAAAAAGGTGAGCAGAGCCAAGCTCATAAAAACATGTAAATTCTACAATACTTCCCATCGATACACAAGCGTTTCAGGAATGCATTCTACAAAGAGAAACTCACATCATTTTCGGCTTCTTTCCTTCAGATGGGGAAAGGGTCCTCAGCTGTTCCTCCTCCTTTGCTGCTAAGTGTCCATGAAAACTGCTGGTCATTGAGGGACCCGTCAGCCTGTTGCACCCTGCCTGCCTTTCAGAAGCTACATGCACTGGCAGGTCCATTTCAGTAACAACTGAAGTACTGAGTACTGAAGTACTGAGTACAGCTAGCTCTTCTCATCTTCTGCCTACCAAATAGAGAACAAAGGCTCACAGCCTGGGTTTCTGGTGTTAAGAAACAATCTTGGGGGTGTCAGTCCTGGTCAGCTCCCATTCATCCTCCCAGATGCTGCTAAGAATTCCCTGTTACAGGAAACCTTCCGAAAGACCAACCACTAAGGCTCAAAATCAATTTTCCCTACCATTGTTCTGTCCAGTCAGTTTCAAGGAAAGCAGAATCATCCAGAAACTCATCCCCTACCCTGTGTTTTCCCAGCTTCCACCTTACCACAACAGAATCTGTAACAAAAGCCCTAGCAAGGATAAAGATTTTTAACAGGTGATGCACATCAGTCATCCTAGGTCTGAGAAGCTGTGAGAGAGAGATCTCAGATTGGAGGCTAGCCTGGGTTACATAGGAAGACCCTGCAAAGAGAGAGGTAGAGGAGGTAGAGGAGAAAAAGGAGGAAGAGGAGAGGGAGAAAGGAGGGAGTGGGGAGGAGAGGGAAAGGAAAAGGAGAGGAAAGAGAGGTGAACAAAGGAAGCGAACATGAAGCCAGAAGTTTAGGTCTAGCGTGCTATGGTCCAGGGTGACTATATGGTCCTGAGCTGCTACCCATCCCGCCTCAGGGCTTAAGTTAGAAATAGTTTTGAGATTTTAGTTTAAGTCAATTTTCTCACATAAGACAAATACAGCGTGTTTTTTTCCTCTAAATTTGTTTTCTTATTTGGAACTGCCATTTACCAGTGCAAAATAAGTGCTCACTGATCGCGCACACAAAATGCAATAAAGCACCTTCCTTTGTAAGGATGATCTTAAAATTTTAAGACTCCAAGTACTACAATCCCTGGCTCTGTGCATTGACTATAGGCCTGCACTACCCTGCATTTTCACTTGCATGATCTTATTTCAACCAGTTCTCAAACAGAACAGCCATATGAACACAGGTTTCCAAAATAATTTAAAAATAGACATAGACTTCTGTTTTAATATAGTCATTGGTGTTGATGCATTTAAGGTGATAAACGGAAAGTTTCTGGCAGTTAAATGGGTTAACAGGTTTTTCACGTCAAATAAAACTAAATAATCTTACAAACAGGTTATTCTGGAGGCAGCTTTCCAAGAACTGCCACTTACTTCCAGTTAACAGAAAATTGTATTCTTAGAAATCTCTATGCTCTTTCCTCACTGCACAGTACTGGGGGGGAAACTATGGCTCTTTGAGGTGGTGCATATCAAATACACGTGGCTTAGTGTGAAAATGTGAGGGGATTTTTGCTAATGCTTCATGGTTTCCCAGAAGATGTACAGAAATGCTCTTAGAAATATTTTGCATAGGTATGAAGTAAGTTTGCAATGCCCAGATAATTTTTGTACAAAGTATTTATTTATTTTATAGTATAATTGAATCATTTGCCTTCCCTTTCCTTCCCAAACTGTCTCATTTATCCTCCTTACTCTTTTTAAAGTTCTTTTAAAAGTTTTTCTTTTATTACTTGTTGTTGAATATATATATTACTAAATACACAAATACAATCTTCTCAGTCTGTATAATGTTACTTCTGTGTATGTTTTCAGGACTAGGATCCTCCCTGAAGACACCGTGAAGACACCAGAAGGCACCTTGCAAGCTTCTAAAGAATGGAAGCAACCAAGAGTTCTTACCTAGCTATGATGCCTATGAACTACATCAATGACCAGCCCGGCCCAATAACCCTAAGGGTACAATAGTGGAACACATACACTGGCAGTAACCAACAGCTCTCTCATAAGACTTCAGACATGTCAAGAGGAAACGCATGTCCAGTACTAGAGACCTAGCCAACTAACCAGGGCTAGTGAAGTCATGGATCTTGGAGGAGGGCCTACAACCACCACTTTATTAAACCAGCCAAGTCAAGACTGGCAGTGACATGATGGGCAAATTATTCCGTGCAACGTCAGGTGGACACTAATGCATGGTGGCCACAGCCATGTTAGAAGCACAGCCGGCTAGACTCCAGTGACTGTAGCCTAGGCACCCGTGTTTAAGGAGATCTTAATTGTGGATAGTTGATGTCATCAGTTGCACTGGCTCCTGTGGTTTAGATGTGGTTGTAATGTGTCCCCAAAGCTGTATTAAAACTTAATTCCCATCATGGCAATATTTAGACAGTAGAAACTTAATTTAACAATAATGTTTAGAGGTTAGGCCTTTGGAACATGATAGGACTAAATAAAGGTATTAGGGTAAAGCCTTCTTGACTGAAACCTACCTGATGTCTTCATAAAAGCAAGATAGAACAGAAATACACAATCTCTCTCTCTCTCTCTCTGTCTGACACATACACACACACACACACACACACACACACACACACACACACTTCCCATCTCTTGACAACAATGTCTTTTAGCCCTCTTTAGAACACTTCCAGCAAGGCCATTGTTCGAGGAAGGCTCCCGATCTTGGTCCTTCAGAACTATCAGTCAAAGGAAATCTCTGTTCATATAATGCTAGCTACCCATAGGTATTTTCTTAGATTAAAGTAGAAAGAAAAAAAAATGTGAGCTTGATGGTATTTTATTTGATCAATTATTTATGATTTGAGAAAACAAATTCATAAATTATGGATCCTCATTTACTAAAAGATCCCATCCAGTATTGCAATGCTGTTATCACTATTGCAGAAAGCTCAGCACAGGGCTCTACAGAGCAATTCCCTGACTTCACAGCTATGGAAAGTCACTTTTAGATTGTTTTTGTGAACCACACTCTCTCAAACCAAAGCTCTGTACATCTATTACTCAGCGGTCTCTAGAGGGAATATATAATATATATATATATATATGCATTTATATATATATATACATATATGCATTTATACACATATATGTACATATGGATGCAAAACAGGTTAATTAACTTGGCTTATATACTGGGTGGCTGGATACTCACAAAATGGCTATTGGCACATGGAGGAGCTATAGAAATGAGTAGCTTTTCCAAGATGTAAGCTGCAGGAAGGTGAGATCAGAGATGAAGAGCCTGACCGAGACAGGAGGCCTGGAAACCTTGTAAATTCATCATCGTGGGTCTACATTGAAAGGCTTAGGAAACTAGTATTGGATGTCCACAGGGAATGCAAACAGCATCAAATGCCTTTTCAGAAAGAACCAAGCCTCCCCATTCTTGCTGGCCTCATCTTCCTTTTGCTTTTTTTCTTTCCTGGCTTCCCTCCTGCCTTAGCTACTACCCCTCATGCCAACTGTCTCTGGAAATGCCTTCACTGTCATGCCTAGAAGTGTTTTCACAACCTCTAGGACTTTCTCAGTCCAATCAGATTGGCAGAAGAATAACCATCATGGTTCACATTGTCTCTGCTGTCCAGGATACCTTTTTCCACTGCCTAGCTGATACCCCAGCTGTACCTAGTCAATATTATTTTTTCTTTCAGATAACAACTCCACACAGATGCAACTCACAATATCCTACATTAGTTGTATCATGGCTTTTTCCTTATTACAGTTATCTATCTGTTCAGTGTTTCCCTTCCCTGATTGATTAGCAATTCCATGAGGTTCAGGGTCCTTTCTGCCCTGTTCACTATTGGAACAAGAAGTGCAAGTATAGAACAGTCTGATTTCCCTTATTTTATGCAAGTGTAGGGAAAGGACAGATCTCAGGAGCGAGATGCAAAAATAAAATTAGCAATTAATATACATTAAGTAAATTATGTCTCAGGCACTAGGCTAAGAAGATTGGCACTGAAAATCGTAGCAGGACACAGCTGCTGTTCAAACAATTACAGTTATCTTATTTCAGTCAAAACACAAATGGCTGGTAAAGCAGGAGCAAATCTGGGTTCTGAAAATAGAAAATGTAAAATTCCCCTAGCTGGGCTTCCTTGTGTGGCCTCAGTGAAAGAGGAGGCACTTAGTCCTGCCATGACTTGAACTGCCAGGGCAGGTTGGTAGCTATGCAAGGCCTCTCCTTCTCTGAATAAGGGGATGGGAAAGTAGGGGGAAGGAGGTGGGAAGGTGGGACTGGAACGAGAGGAGAGGAGGGAGTGTGGACTGGGATCAGGATGTAAAGTGACTGAATGAATGAATGAAAAAATAAATGTGTAAATAAATAAATAAATAAATGGGAAAAAAGAAAAGAGAAAAGAGAGAAAGACAAAAATTGGAGACAAAAGAGCAGCCTTTCTCCTTGACTTTTTTTCCTTCGTTATTCACCATGTCCCTAACTCAACAATCTGCTTTCTGAAGTGCTTTACATCTGAAGACAGAATATAAAGCCCTTACCTAGAATTTTTGGAAATATTGCGATAACTGGGACTCTTTCTATTCCTTCAAAAAGAATGCAATAAGCATGTCCTGCTGGAAGCCCTGTGCCGGCTACTCTGAAATACATACATGATCAAAGATAATCTGTGCTACCTTCAAAATCATGAACACTTAGTTGCTTGTGTACTCTTATCCCCCCACCCCCCAATTTAAATCGGCGCTCAAAGTAATGACAGTGGCACACTTTGGTGCTGAGCTGGTAAGAGAAACTGAGAGAGTCGTTTCCATGACTCACTTTTGCTCACGCTTTCTTGAAGCTTCATTGTTTGACATCCCACCCTCATTCTCACCACATCTTGGCCACAGCACTGCGTCCTGAGATGACAATGATTAAGCCCAGATCCCTGAATAAGAAACAAAACATTCTAGGTTTTCTTAGTTATGATTTAAAAAAAAAATACTAGCCTCTGAAGGCTAGTTTGTACTCATGCAATTAACACTCACTGACCAACAAAGATAAAAGAAGGATGATTTTTAAAATGTGTTCACTTTTGTCACTTTTAAAAATACTTTCTATTTTTTGAAATTAAAATATAATTACATCACTAACCCCTTCCCTTTTCTCCCCTCAAACCCTTCCATGTACCTCTCCTTGCTCTCTTTCAAATTCATGGCCTTTTATTCTGTTTTTTATTCAGAGTTCTTATCACTCAAAATGTTGCAGTTCTTAACTCATTAATACAAAAGCTAGCTTTATAGAGATTCCTCCCCCTTGAGAGCAAGGAATGACAACCGATGCCTGGCAAGTAAGAAGAACCACCAATTCCACCTGACTTAGCATCTCTATTTGGGGAAGGATTGTTTTTAAGGAATAGAACAAAAGCTTGTCTTCTCCAATTTATTTCTTTGGTGTCCTAAATGTTTATTATACAGGTCCTCCTTGCTTGGTTAGAGCTCTCCTAGGGTATTTTTCAAGGTTATGGGGTATAAGTACTATTTAAAGTACAAGGTTTCAAGGTAGAAAGATACTATTTTCCTAACTTTTTTCTCACATTGTTTATTATTCATATGTAGGAAGGCTATTGAGTTTTATGTGTTAATTTTATACCCAGCTATTTTGCTGAAAGTGTTTATCAGCTGTAAAAGTTTCGTAGTGGAGGTTTTATGGTCATTTATGTATACAACATAAATATAATAGTCAGCTATATACAATGATATCATAAAATAAATTATATTTTCAAATAAAAACATTTTGACTTCTTCCTTTCCTAATTGTATCCCCTTGATCTCCTTCAGTTGTCCTATGGCTTTAGCTAAGACTTCAAGTACTATTATTTTGAATAGATATGAAGAGAGTAGAAATCCTCGTCTTTCTCATTTTAGTGGAAATGCTTTGAGTTTCTGTCCATTTAGGTTAATGTTGGCTGTGGACTTGCTTAAACTGCCTTTATGATGTTGAGGTATATCCCTTGCTTCCCTAGTCTCTCTAGAAATTCATCATGAAGGGAAGTTGGATTTTTTTTCTAAGGCATTTTCTGTATCAAATATGTGTGTGTATTCCTAAATATATAAATACAACCTGCTCAGTCTGTGTGTATAGGTCTTTAAAGCTGACTATCTAACATGTCAAAATGGAAGAGGGAAAGCTCATGAGGCCTCAATTCTAGACAAAAAAAAAAAAAAAAAAAAAAAAAAAAAAAAAAAAAAAAAAAAAAAAACACTACAGGCAACTAAGGAAGGTAGAAAATGGGATAAGTCTTCCTTAGCTAGGAAAAGCACATCTAATAGCAAATGGCCAGTTCTATGTTTTTCAGACAGGGTTTTACTATATAGCCACAAACTCTCTAAAACCCACAGCCCCAAAATCACATTCCTGCTTCACACTCTCAAGTCTTAGGATGTCCATTGTATGCCACTGTGCCAGACTCAACAGAGGTTTTTCTAACAGAAGCTGGTCCTAGAGAGGGAGTGTAACTACACTTCTCCACTTCCACATTTCTCTGCTTCCACATTTCTCTGCTTCTAGAAGGACACCTCATGGAGTTGAGAGTGATATGATAGAGGATAAGCAGGGAGTTTGGAAGGTCTCGGGAAGCCACAGAAGTAAGAGAAATTGCTAAGAGAAATAAATGTAAGTAGAACACGAATTGCAAAGCAGCTAGTGTTTCTATGGTGTGTGTCAGCTCTCCCTCTCCACATGGTCGTAACTCTAGGCATGTCAAGGAAGCTAAAGGGCATCCAAATGGAAGAAATAAGCTACACTAAATTCTTATGACTCACTGGAGAGAGGCAGAAGTAGGGATAATTAGTCTTCCAGGGTAATGTTTGGAGTCTCTGATAGGTCAGCGATAGGTCAAAAACTTTCTGTGCCCATGGAATACCCCTGTGGCAGAGTTTCTACCTAGAGCCAAAAAGTGTTTCTTATGTTCAGAATAAAGACACAGGGAGTAAAAACACTGAGTAGAAGGTATATGTGCCATGGAGTGCTATAAACCAAGTAAGAGAACACAGCACATAGACTTCAATCTGCCCCATTAAATGGGAATGTTTGTGTCTTAAGAGCATCAGTGTGTTGTACTAAACAGCTCAGCTGGTCTATGCCCAATGACTCCAATGGATATGTTTTCTGCAGGACAGACTTAAAAGGAAAACACAAGCAACTGACAATAACAGAAAAAGCAATGGAGCTAGTGAAATTTCTTGGAAAGGGAGAAGAAGGAGCCATCATTTAAGCCATCACAGAAGCTTCTTTTCCCCTTCCAAGAAAATTTAACATCTAAGAATTCAAGCACGCTCTGTTAAGTTCTGAAGAAAGTAGAAGGTGCTGCTAAGACTCCTTGGGTAGGGCACGTTTGTCTCTCTTCAGGAAAATCTGAAAGACTTTAGATGATGAGAATCACAATTCCCAGCATCCAGTAAATATAGTCCTGTTGCCTCACCAGGAAAACCTGGAAAACTAGACTGCACAGGCAAATTGCTCA